TTGTGAGCGACTGTGCAATCATTTCGAAGTAAACTGCGAAGCTACCTCGACCTGGATACCATTGTGTCACTTTGTTTTTGGAGAAGATCACTTGATGCTCCATTTAATGAATTCCCCATATAATGTCCATCTAACGTCTATAACTTTACGCGATGCAATTAGGTTTCAGTATTTGCAATATACTCAAACTACAAAAGTACCTCCTACCTTCGCATAAAACACAAACCTATGCCATGTATATCATGTCAGAAACGAAGACAAATATAGGAACGTAAATTCATACTGCCATGCAAGACATGACTGCCTGTACAAATACGAGCTGTGTCAATCATGGAGGCAGCTTCCCACTTGTTGAGAAAAACACCTCTTATTATTAATGTTATTATTATTATCATTATTATTATTATAAAACAGATAAAAGGACTTAAACTTAGTACATCCACCTCCGAAGTAGATGTGGAGAAACTGAACCATAACTTCTGCTACTGCCACAACAGGCCGATCTTTGACTCATCTTTTGCCCAGCCTAAATTTTCTGCACACTCACTCCCCCCTGACGACAGCGGCACTGCGCACAAGTCACTGAAACAACTGCACTCAGGGAAAGCGTGGTCAAGACAGACTGTCACCCGTTACGCTCAAAGAATGTGTTGAGTTCTTGGTCAGACCTCTGGCCACGTTATGTACCCGTGTATTCCACAAGAGAAAATTACCGACTGCTGGAGTGGCATCAGTATCACAACATCAAAAAGGGGCTCAAGAAAATAGTGACCAGTTAATTGCACTATAGTAGCCTTAAAGGTGTTCGAAAACACCACTCTTGAGAGGATGCTGACACAACAGTAGTTAAATGATTCTCTTCAGTTTGCCTACCTGAGTCGGCTTAAGACGCATTAGCCTGTCTTGTGCACTCAGTTCTGTCATTATTGGACAAGAGAATCAAGTTCAGCCGAGTCAATTTTCTGGACTACAGCAATGCGTTCGGCTGAGTAAAGTGCAAACTACTGTTTTAAAGTCTATTGAGTGATGGAATACATCCTTCCATCGTTCTTGTGTTGAGTGATTATTTTACTGGTCGTACTCAGGTTACCCGATTTGGAGACAGAAGCTCTTCGCCCCTACAAACAAACACCGGTGTTCATCAGAGAGGTGCCAGTCTCCATTTCTATTTTCCACCTATGCCAACAAAATACCAGTCCCAGGATAGGGAACCCTCCCGAAGTACCCAGATGACGTTGTCCTAGGCGTCAAATAATCGACCATTACCTCTTCAGTCAGATTGGTCTAGGGCCCGCGACCTGCCACTTAACGTGTCAAAATGCAATGCTGTCGTTTGTGCACTGCGCAGAGGAGATCGATACCTACAGCTCCATAAATGCCCGGCACATCGATGTCGGGATGATGCATCTGTAAGGTACTTGGGTGTCAAGCTTAACTACGATTTACCTTGGTCACACTTTTTAAAAGAAATCATAAAAGTTCGAAATTAATCTTTCTACTACCTTTCTGGGCCCCCCATGATTTGATACTACGCTTTGTCACTGCCTGTGTCATTCAACAATAGACGTAATGCATCCCAGTATTTTTTTCGTCTAGTGAGCAAAGACTTCATATTAACCTCCAGCTCGGTAAAACACTTGTCGCGATGCAGCGGTGTATCAACACTGAGGCAATAGTAACTATGCAACTGGTCAGTTTCCAAGGTATTGAAATAATCCAACCTTGGAGATACTTTCCCGCATTTGCTAATAAGCGTAGCGAAGCTTTACAGAAGATGCCAGCGTAACAGGGAAATTCTTTTCCCTCGTTAAACGGTATCGTGACAGCTTTTTAGCCATTTAACTCGGATTAACTGTACGATTAGATTTCTGCTAACTTCTGTTAACCGTTTAAATTCATATACGTCTCAGGCACCAATCTTCTTGGTACACCGTCCCTCTGGGAGAGGCAGCAAGGATCGGCCAGTTTTTCTGTTGACCGCATGAACATCTGGGCTACTAGGCCAGCCCCGCCTCCGTTGAACAAATAGAGAGCGCCTTCGCTCGACGTTAAAGAATAGAGGCCAATGTGAAATTTGTAGCCGCTCTAGTAGTTATGATGTCAGCAACAACGTACGATGAGTTATCACGGGCAAAGAAGCTTGCGATCTGATGGAGTATATCAACTGGTCTTAACTTGTTTCCTTGACGTCGTGGGGATTTTGTGTAGTCAACAGTACATGCGTTCGTGCAGATACTTTACTCACTGGTCAAGTGCCTGCAGTACCTAAACAGATTGCAGGTAACAGAACTTTTTGAAGTTTTCCACAGTTTCTTGCACTTCCACCGTTATTCGTACAAACTGGACCGCAGGTCATCATATGCCTGAACCAGTGACCGTTATCCGAGGGGTGCCAGCGTTCTGTGCGTGTATTTTCGAGAAGGTGCGTTGCAGCTAGAATCAATCAGACAGCCACCACACATCGGAACCAGCTGGACCCGGCGGATGCGCGCTAAAGACTAGTCCCAATAGAATGAAATGGCCGTCTAGCGCTTCCTGGACGCACGGTGCTGTCTGTTTCTACCTCGAAGGAATCTTCCCAAAAGACAAGAACTTTCCCCTCATTGCTCACCTATATATATCCATGTTTCATGAATGGTTCACACCCGTTGTGCACAATTTTCACTTTAAACTGAGCGTTCATTGGATCAAACTGGTAGTTCTGCAAGCCAAACCGTACACTGTTTATTTTAAGCAGTAAATCAGCAATTTGTTGACAAGGGATATGGTGTGTGGTGACTGGACGATGTTAAGGCTACATTGCGGTGAGACTAATGTAACCCGAATTGTGCAAACAACGGATGCTAGTGCAATCGTTTCTCTTGATCATGAGCGTCGTTCATTTCGATCAAATGCTGTGACCCAGCTTTCTCCTGTTTCCCTTTCGACTTTCGTGTACTGTGCGTTTTCGTGTGTGAGTGTGAATCTGTGCAATTGCGGGACCATGAGAACAGTGTAGGTTGTTATGACTCCGCCAAGCCTTTTAGTGCTTCAGTAGCCCCCTGTTGCATGAATCGACCAAAATGAGCGACGGAAGACGAGAAGACGCATCCCCGAGGTAGCGACGGTGCAAGCGAACATAACTGAAGGAAGAAGAGATTTCTACCAAGCTTGTGTTCGTCGACGACAGAACTATCACGAAGCTGCTGAAATCGCCGCTGTCAATGGGAGAAGGGCAAGAAACATCAGCAATGCATACTGTTGAGAGGGTGCCCTTACTTAGCGCTACTGTGGAGTGAACAACGGTGTGAAGCTGACTCCATGTGTCTACAGCCCATTAGCGTGACAGTTGAACGACATTCGGAGCGTACTTCGGTGCAGATACAACAGCGACTGAAAAAGAACGACATCCACCATATCGTAGCACTAGTCTTCGTTGCCTTCAGAAGGTTAACGACCACCCTCAATAAGTGCCGCTATATGCCAGACCGCATAAACAGTACCGAGAAGCCTTCACACTCTACTTCTGGGTGTATGTACTGCACGGCAAGAAGAAGTACATTTTCATGCACGAGAGCGGACTCAAGCACCCTCTGCGGCAGACGCAGGTGGGTTCAAGAAGAGGAACTCATGTAAACATGAACTTGCCCATATCCAGAGGCCGTGTGGTCACGTTGATTGTGACAATTAATAACTCAAAGGTCGTCAGCAAAGACACATACAATGGTGCAACTTTCTCGAAGTTCATCGAGGAGCTTGTGGCACGCATACGTAGCAGCGTGGAGAGGAACGGTGCATGACTGAACACAAACGAGACCAGAGTTGCATGCCGAACGATCCAAGGAGGAGACTAGGTTTATCCTACCAACTGGAGTTTATGTCACCCTACTACATGATAAACACAGTAGAAATCGTGTTTTAGAAGGTGTAAGCAACGGCGAAATGCCTACTGACCGACCCGATGCCTGATCAGAAGCTAAGTGCTGTCATACAAAAGCGTTTGAACGTTAACGCAGCGTGACTGCACGAATAGTGTCCTAACTGTGATACCGAAACTGCTAATAGCAACAGCGGGACTGCTGTTCCTCAATTGACCATCTCTAACTATGCTGCTTACTTTCTTGTCGATTTATCATTTTTACTTAGGTGGATATTTGTTAAAGCAAAGAACACGCAGCTGGTAGCTTGGCTTCTGGGTTGCATTAAGATAGCGCACAGTCCAGCGTTAATACGTTCAAAGTGGTGAATTTCATGAAGCATGTAAGCCGAACTGCTCCTTTAATAACTTGTCAGCATGTAAAACGACTTTAATTGGATTAGGCACAAATGGGCCGTAATGGGTAATGCTTGCACAAACACGAGTAATCGTCGCTCCGTAATCTATTAACGCGTGATCCATACGAATACATTCAAACAAAGAAGGGTCAAGTTTTCGCCCCACTTTTATCGTATGTCTTTGACAGTTTGTCGTCTCCGCTTACATTGGAACGGCAGAATAGTCGTAGAAGTTGCATCATATTTCGTATTAGTGTTTTTACCTCGAAACTGGTTTGTTGAAACCAACCAGGAGCCGAACTTGGAGAACGGACTCCAGTCAAATAACTGTGTCCTAGCTACACGAACTTAGTGGTGTCACTGAACTGATGGGCGCCCATCACGAGTCACTATGGATTACCCCAGCGATTTCTGCTCTGCAGCTGCTGTGGCAGCATATGGTGCTGAATGAATCCAGCAACGTGAAGTCGGTCTGACAGCCCTACTAAGCAGTTAGGTTGTGGCATTAAGGTACTTCAAAAATGTCAGCTTAACTTTAGATAGTCCACATGATTGCACTTGGAACACACCGTTGTGTGATTAGATCATATACGTTTGAATATTAAGCTGTCCAATGTCAATATTGTGGAGCGTGTGAACTATGACTCCAGGAGGAACTATGGTTCTGGAAGAGCCAGGTTGATGAAAAGCAACAACTCGAAAAATTTACTAACACGCATGGCTGCTATGTACCGGTATTCACTCACCTGGCAAGGCGTTCCGCGGGTCGTCATAAAAATTGGCTGGTGGTGGCTCATTGAGTAGCTCATAGCCGATCACGTTGCTTGAGCGACCGAGCCGGGAGGCAACGACTTGCCAAAAGTCACCCCAGTGTACCCACGATCCTGAATGATTTTTGTATAGTCGATCCGCGCAATCGACGCAGGCATAAGTTAGATAATTTTCGAACCAAAATTCAGGCGGACGTGAAAATGGCCATGGGTATCGTCTGTTTGTCGGAGTACGTATCATTTTATCGACTAGCCACAGAGGTATACCGTCGTAACCACCAAAACGACTAGACAGCAAATCTTGGTGCAGATCAATCAGCACATAGATTCCGTGTTCAGCGCACACCCTGATTATATCCGAAATCTTTTTCAAATATTCCTCTTCTATCTGTCCCTCCTTAGGCATCACACCAGACCACATCACTCCCAGTCGAACAAAGTTGATTCCCCAACTTTGAAACATCTTGAGCTGCGTCCGGTTCGTCAGTTGTTCATCGTACCATGGTGGGTGTTTTACCACAGAGTTAAATCCGTGAAACAGTAGGATACGGTCAGTATCATCAACAAACTCACCGTTTTCATTCAGCCTGACCTTATCTAGGCCGGTCACCCAGCTGATAAGAAGCCCAACAAGTAAAACACACGGTTTTCGCAGAAACATAGATGAAAATGTCAACCGTTTCACCTGTGTCAGGCTCAGTATGCGTCCTACATCTATCTACCAATGTTCAGTTAATATTGGCTATGTGGCTATTGATCAGCGTCCACTGACGCGTGTGTGAATTGTGTGATAACTGTGGTCAAATCGCGGCTGTACCAGACATCCTTGACGTCCGGTCGAATGAAACCTGTGGCTTTCTTGGTGTTCAGATATCACGTGACAACCTCAGCAATAATGCCTGTTGTTAGATTGGTTGGAAACGAAGCCCTTAAGAAATCAAACCTCCGACCTCGTAATCCGTTGGTCTACAGCATGTTTGAATAGTATCCGGTGTGATTGTAATCACACACATCTACGTTCGAACTGTTGTCCTTTTAGATTGCAATTCTAAATCATTCGATTTCAGTTAAGCTACGAATAGGTGTGATATAGAAATGAATGAAACGCCCATATACGCATCACCCGCCGTCTCAAGCTACTACACTGACGATCCTAGTCGCCTAGCCCATTGCCCGAATCGAGCGAGGATTCATACGAGCTTCATTTGAGTCGTACATATTTTCGCCTACAATGCTACACCCGAATGGATTGATCAGAATCTACTACACTGAGATACAGCTTTTAATGTGATTGACCGCTGTTGGTAGCAGTTTGCTCTCCGGAGGACAGTTTCACATGTGTCCAGCCCATCAAAAGAATACTATCGAAGGTACCCAATTTACCTTATGATGAGATTTCACCTCTTGAGGAGCCGAGGGGAATTACCAAGGTGATTTCTGACTCTACGAGCCATAGAAGATCCAAAACCAAGTGCGAAATTATAAATACACGTTGGAACCGTGAATATGCAAATTATTTCACGAAGCATAGCAATCGACTGGTGACTATGACGGAACTGATATTCAGAAGCAACAACTGAAGTAGGATCATCGGTGACTGATGATCTATATACCGTTTTTTACTTGTGTTGCTCTACTTCGACGGCAGCTTCTGTGGAACATAGATGTGTCCAAGATTGGATGACTTACCAAAAAAACAATGAAGCTAATGGTAGCTGTGTTTTGGGGCAACATAAATCATGACGTACCGCAACTGATCCGTCCTATACTGATCGTCCTATACTTGCGCTTAAAGGCATAAGCAAAGCACACTTCTACCTCGTGCCGGACAAGTCACTGCTGTCCGTTCTAGTCATATGGCTTTGGAAACCCTTAGGTAAACTGCCCCCACTCATACATACACCATCGAACACAGGTAGTTAGAATTGGAGAGCAACACTCTATGCCAAAACAAACCAGCAGCGTCTTCCAGGGAAGTGTGCTCGGACCGCTAGTTGCTCTACTCTACGCAAACAACTTATGCGACTCGAGCAAACACGGACGCCCATTTCTGTTTGCAGAAGTCATCATACTGATCTACTCATTTCATCCAGACCAAATGCAAATATGCCTGGGAAGCATCTGTGAAGAGCTATCCGCGCTAAATATAGCTACTGAACGTTTATTAATGAAATCATGTGCAGTAAAATCTCAAGTTATTATCATCATCATCATCATCATCATCATCACCACCATCATCATCATCATCATCATCATCATCATCACCATCATCATCATCATCATCATCATCATCATCATCATCATCATCATCATCATCATCATCATCACCATCATCAACAGCAGTACATCAGCCATTTGAACTGATGCTTCGCTGCCATACAACCATGAGGACCTATTAAATAAAGAATGAGAAGAGGGAGAGAAGGGGGACTTATCTGAAAACCTTAATGCCCTAAGCAAACATTCAGGTTCAAGGCGCCTGCACCTTGTTTAGACAACATACCGTCACAAACAGCTGGCTATCGTGCTAAGATAAGGCGGCGTCGGGGAGACAGCTTCCTTGCGGCTTTCACTGCCACGCGTCATAATCAGCCATTACCCCGCAGATAACTCAGCATTAAACACACTTTAAACAGGCAGTCCGATTAGGAGACGGCTGCAGACGCGCCACTGGTGTCGGTTGCGAGCCATGTCCTGTAAAGTCTCGAGTCAAGCACAAGCCGAGTCATGTGGACTCCAGCCCGGAAGGCGAGACGGACCAACGGCACTCAGTTTGGTCGTCAGTGACTTCATTTCCCGCTGCCAAGTCAACTGCTGTCCACCTCGAGCCTTGCGCCACCCTACACCTGGCAGACTAAACAAGGTCCTCCTAGGTAAGCGGTGACCAGGCATGCGTAGCACGTGCCCGAGCCAACGCAATTTATTTAGTGCTATCTGTTGTTCTAGGGAGGCAGCATGATTACCACCACCTAGTACTCGCCTACGCACATCATCGTTGCAGCAGGTTGGTGCCATCCGACTCCAGCAATCATTCGCAGACAACGATGATCAAAGACTTGAAGGCGCCTCAGATCTTCAGACCGAAGGGGCCAAGTCTCACTACCATAGAGCAGAACGGCCTTCACTGTGGCCTTATATACACGGCCTTTCAGACGGAGGGAAACTCCCTTCTGTCGCCAAAGATGCCGCAGGTTCAAGAAGGTAGCTCTGGCTTTTCCAATGCATGAGCTGACGTCAGTTTCTATGCGCCCATCATTGCTGATGCAGCTGCCAAGATAAGTGAAATGATCAACCACCTCGAGTTTTTCGTTAGCAAGCGTCAAGGGCTCATCAAGTGGCTGGTGGTGCTGCAGCAACACTTGCACTTTGAAAGTGCGAAGTGCATACCAAATAATGGGACCACTCTGGACAGGTTATTCGGGGTTGATTGTGCCGCCGCAAAATCGTCGAAAAGCAAGAAGTTACCGTCCGCATAATCTAGGTCAACTAACCTTTCACCAGGCAGCACTTCAACACCTACATCTTTGGATTCCGTTAGGGAACACTCCATGATAGAATCCACGACGAAACTGAACAAAAATGAAGAAAACGGACAACCCTGACGAACGACACTTGTGGTCGGAAAGCTATCCGATAGGACACCGTAGACCCTGCCGCGGTCTGTAGTGTTCTAGTATAGAGCACGAAGGATGTTCACATATTTCGTGGGAGCACCCTTCCGCGCAAGTATTTCAAACAGAATCGATCGAGTGCACTCTTGAAATCGCGGAACACAGCTATTGTCGGTCTGCGGTATGCAAGGCGCTGCTCTAGCATCTGCCGCAAAGTGAATATATGGTCTTCATAGCCACGTCCTGGGCGGAAACCGGCCTGCTCTTCCCTAATCCGAGATTCCCGCTCCGCAGGGAGGCGACGAACGAGAATCGAGGTCAATAATTTTGTCACCACTGTTGTTAAGCTAATACCCCTGTGGTTAGAACAGTCTGTGCGACTGCCCTTCTTGTATATTGCCACTATAATCGATTCGCTCCAATTAGCCGGCACACTCTCTTCGTTACAGATACATTCGAATAAGGAGGTCAGTGCTTTGTAGAGGACCTCACCTCCATCCTTAAATAGTGCAGGTGGGAAGGAATACGGGCCAGCGGCACGAAAACGATTGAGGGCTGTGATCGCGTTTCGGACCTCGGCCTCCTACGGCGGCTCTAAACTAACCGTCCATGGCTCGTCCTGCATCACCTGAGTAAGAAGAGGTCCGGGAGCAGGGGGCCAGCTGAACTGATCGTGAAAGTGTTCCGCCCAACGATCCATACTGTGCTCCTTATTGTGTATCAGCGCACTCGCACTGTCTCTGATTGTCTCACTAACGCCTGGTTTTCTGGGACCAGCGGTGCGGATTAGCTGGAAGAGCTTGCGGTAATTGTCCACTGCCCCTGCCTCCTCCATTTCTTGAGCCCTACTGGTTCATCAGCCTTCCTTAATAGCACGTCCTGCTGTAGTGTACCTTTCACATTTTATTACATAAGCTTCCGGTCAGCTGATAAAATCGCCAGCTGTATCGACTATTCTTTCAAACACTTCATACATCGATCAACTTTCCTTTTGAATCGCCGGCTAACTCTAGACTACCTAGTGTATAACATCTGGGAACTCCAAAAATACATTTATGGGAATACACGTTGTCAATCCCTTTTGGCATCCAAGAATGACGGGTTATTAAACCAGGAACTCCGCAACCAAAAGGTGTTGCCAAAATACGGTAAGGGGAACGACGATAAGTGGTGACCCCGACAAGTGGTTGACCTGACGTGAGTTCGGATATTTCGACTCAGCAAACATCATCCGGTGAGTCGTATCAAAGTTCGTCATAATTCCACCATTTCATGTATGCTAATATGACTGACCAGCAACCAGGGGAAATTAACACCGTATCTACTAGTTGTTTACCAATATTTTGGATACAGTATCCCCAGCTATGGTTTATGCAGGCCGAGTCATTTTTTGAAATCAACCGCATACATAAGTATGCCTTAAAGGTTCATCACGTTATTTCCCGACTCCCACCTGAAATGTTACTCCTGGCACAGGATATCCTAAAGAGGAGCAATACGTACCAACAGTTAAGAGACTTGTTAATCCGTGAGCTTAGCCTTAGTGAGCGTAAAAGAGTGCAGCGTCTACTTAATGAACAGCAGTTAAGCGATCGCACTCCTAGACAACTATTACGAGCCATGCAAGCTTTGGTAGGTGAAAACCCACCAGAGAATTCCATTGTTAATCAGCTATTTATGCAACGGCTCCCTGTACATGTACTACAGATTCTGGCTAACGCCCACCAGGATACCGAACTAAAAGAGTTAGCCCTTATGGCTGATAAGATAATGGAGATACAAACTCCAATAATCTCAAACTTATCACCTCGTACACCTGACGACGAACTCGTTAAAGCCGTACGCTCCTTGCAACAACAACTGGCTTCCATTACCATCACTAGACGAAGGAGCAACTCTCGATCTAATCAACGGCGTACTCGGAGTGTTAGTCATCTCCGTGGCATATGCTGGTACCACCGTAGGTTCCGCAACAAGGAGAAAAAGTGCGTGAAACCGTGTCGGTTTTCCGATTCGGGAAACGACCACGCCAGCACGTAATGGCGACGACGCAAGCTGGCAAATGCGATCCAGGTCGCCTATTCTACTTGCGGGACGTAACATCAGGCATGCGATTCCTCGTAGACACGGGTGCTCAAGTCATTGTAGTACCCCCACGTCCAGAAGACCTGAAACAC